TTGGATCTAGATGATGGCACTGTACATCGAAGACATATAGACCAAGTAATTTGTAATTTGTCCAATCCTAATACTAGTTGTGAACCTACTAATCCTTTTGTTTCTGAGTCTTTTCCAGAGGAATTACATCCCAGTACAAATGTCGAAAACAGTACAGAAGAACCCAGAAGATCTGAACAAAGTCCGCCGTGATTACAGAAGACCGGAGCTTCATTCAAGCTGCGGCGGATGTGGTGATCGCTCATGAACTATGAACTCTTGTTTTATTAAACACAATACCCTTGTATATTTTCTTATTTCCGCCTATCACAATTCCATTCCGCCTCTGAGTTGACTTCTGATTTCGTTTCGAGTCGTAGTTCTGGGTCGGACCACTAGTGCGCGGAATCCGATACGTATACGAAATACTAGTCTGAGTACGAACCACAATAGCAAGTCAGAAGACAAACACTGCGAGAGGAATTCCTTTCGTATACTCTCATCGGCCGCGTACGTATAACATCGAACAAGATAGAGAAATGAAGTGAATTAAGTTAGTATTAACCATGTGTGTGTGTGTGTGATTGTGTACAGTGTGTGTGATGCACCTGATTGGTTACAGCCAGGGAAGGCCAAGGTCATACGTTTTTGGATGCACATTGTGGGTTTGTTGTGAGCGATCGATAATGCCTCGAGTATCCTTACTCGGTGTTTATCTCGATGATGTAACAAAACCGAGAACGCTTTCGTGAGGTCTACCCTATGACCGCTTTCAACCAAGTGACGTGCGATGGCCGAAGTCGGTCTGCGTGATGCGGTCAGTGTGGTGTGGGCTGAGTCGTAGAGTCACGCATATACTTGGGGATGTGTTCGGCCATTCTAGTTTGCAGTGATCGGTCGGTTCTACCAATGTATGCTTCGTTGCAGCTGCAACAGAGGGTGTAAATGCAATGAGAGGTTGACTCTACTGGACGACGATCTTTGAATGGGGGAAGGGGAGGCGCGTAGTAGGTGCTTTGTAACGCATTTTTGATGCGCTGTGTGATAAGCTGCATTATTGACTCCCCTTTGTATGGCAGCGAGAAGTGGATATTATTTTTTGACACTCGAAGGGTATTGGCTTGAGTCGGGTTTCCTATCCGATTATGAAAACGAACGAAACATTCCGGATAACCATTTACCCGTAATGCGCTATAGATATTCTCCTGTTCACTTAGTATTGTGTCCTCTTTACATATTTTTCTCGCCCTGTGGAACAATGTTCGAACCAGGCCTCTCTTGTGTCCTATTGGTGAGAAACTGCTGAAGTGAAGGTACTGCCCGGACCAAGTCTGCTTGAGGAAGATAGATCGTTGGATAGAGCCGTCAATTTTACGGATTATTAGGACATCAAGGAAAGCTATCGAATTTGCCTACTCCACTTCACAGGTGAATTTCAAGTTGGGGTGTGCTGCGTTGAATTCATNTTGAAAAACGTTCCCCTGATTGCCTCGTCCAGTTGTGCTTCAATCATACCATTGAAAATATCAGTCAAGATAGGACCAAGGGGGCTACCCATCGCCACACCGTCTGTCTGTCGAAATACGGTACCTTGAAACTGGAAGCGCACGTTTTCAGTGCACAGTAAAATGAGGGGTTTCAACAGCAACGGAGGTATGCTAAGATTGATGTTCTCTCGAGTGGTGAGTTCGCAGATGGAGTCTACGGTTTCATGTAGGGGGACATTTGTGAATAATGAGATAACATCAAAGGAACACATCGTTCTGTCAGATAGATTCAAACTGGACAACATATCACAAAGTCNTACGGTTTCATGTAGGGGGACATTTGTGAATAATGAGGTAACATCAAAGGAACACATCGTTTTACCAGAAAGATTCAAACTGGACAACATACCACAAAGTTGAAAGGAGTCGTGTAATGTGTGATTGCTGAGGCGTTTGTATGCCGACCGAAGGACTTCTACGAGCCACTGGGGCTAGTTTGTGGTAGGGTGAATCTGTGGTCATCCAGGCCTACGTGATGACGCTCACCCTGGAGCGGCGCGTTACAGTTTCTGGACATTTTCCATCAATCACATTTGAAAGATGACGTCAATGACACACCTACGGCTTCTGACTACACGTCATAGGCAGATCGTGCCAGCCAATCCGAGACAGTGCAGACAGAAGCAGCATTATGCAAGCAGTATTGCAATCCGATTGGTGGAAACCTAGATAACCAGTAATCTTCTTTTTAATCGCCGTCATTTCTTCCAATAAACAAACTACTACTTACTACCATTCCTGTGGCCTTTTCCTCGCGTCTCGTCCACGTGGGATATTGTGAGCTCGTGCCATTGTAGTCCAGTGCTTCCGTAGTCCAGTCCGTGACAGCTAATCCTTGATTCGTGTTCTGTGATTCCTATTGCGTGGTTCGTACCCCAAATTCCGTGCGTACCATTACTACTACTACTATTACAATAATTACAGAATCATGCATGGACAATATGGGCCGTAAAGGGACAGGTGGTTTATGTGGCTTTGGTAGCCCGGAAAGAATCGGTGAATGACAACCTATGGGCTTAAGTTGTTTCATTTGCGTCTCAGTGATAAAACCATGTAGCCCACACCATACACTCTGACCACATCACGCAGACCGACTTCGGCCATCGCACGTCACTTGGTTGAAAGCGGCCATAGGGTAGACCTCATGAAAGCGTTCTCGGTTTTGTTACATCATCGAGACAAACACCGAGTAAGGATACTCGAGGCATTATCGATCGCTCACAACAAACCCACAATGTGCATCCAAAAACGTATGACCTTGGCCCTCCCTGGCTGTAACCAATCAGGTGCATCACACACACTGTACACAATCACACACACACACACATGGTTAATACTATTATACCTTTTCAACTTCAAGTGAATCGAACCAATCGCACTCTATTGGAAACCCCACAAGATGATTGGTGTTTCGGCCGTCAAATGTCACCCATTGGACCAGGTCCGTCTAAACCCCGTCCAGTCCGAATGAACTCACTTTCCCGTACACAAACAAAAGTGCATGTTTAGTGAGTTACTGAGCTAGGTTGAATGTTTCGAGAGGGGGGGGGGATCAAGGTGGGCCGTTCTCCCCCCGCCCCCTCCACACAACCGTTCCACCCGGGAACGTTATGTTCGTGATCGTTGGTCCAGTGTGTCATAGACACGAATGAACCAAACGAGATAATTGACCTCTGTCGGTCCGGTAAGGAAGCGAATCACGTCAAGATGGATCGATAATTCGGTCACCATGCCCAGACGTGAATGTGAGCATGGTTCTTTGTATGAGTGTAATCAGTCTAAGCCCACAATAACCCAATGAGTAAATTCTATTGAGGCCGAGTTTCTCTCGAATAAAACCGATTCCTTTGAATCAAATGCGATTGCTTACGCATTTCTGACATTGAAATGAATACTTCACAATATGCTCAACAATGGTAACAATGGTGAAAGAAGTAATAGTATTTCACCTGAATTCGAATCTATTCACTAGCTAACAGAAATCATATTTTTATCTATCATCCCCTGACTGGTTAATACATTCAATCCACAATGTCAATGGCAACAATTCGTTATCTGCGGCTTCTCCCTTCGCTACTCAGCTTCATCGCGTATGTTTTTATCTTTATTGTATCACTGCTCAACCCGTCGCATCTTTTCACATACTGCTTATATTTGTGTGATGTTTATAGATTAGTGAACGAGACGGGTGGTGATATGAATGACTTACAATTATCCATGATCCGACAAGCGATGATAACTCTGTACCGGGTGCTCCGTGAGGTTTTAAATTGAGGTCGGTAAAATATTCTACGCACGGTTGTCTTAATACTGAATGTTGAATAAGGGAAGAGGTTCAGTGGCACCGCTAATGCCACTTTGAATTATATTTCCCGTATGTGTTACCACGAAGGATTGTGCAACTGTGTTGTAGTTGCCATAAGTTAGAGGGGCATTGAAAAGTTCGGATTCTTTTCTAAAAATACGATAATCATTGTTGGATTAGTTTGCCTATTTGATATAAATATCCTCTGAATTATCGCTTGATATACATCTTATTTACTTGCTGTGGTATCCTGCAATAGATCGTAAGTGTAGTATGCTACGAGCGCACAACAATGATGATGACTGGTTGATGGTCGCTGCATCACTTGGTGTGAAGAAAAGGACAGCGATGACATGGATAAGCAGACATCAAGAAGAACCGTCAGAATTCACCCACGGAGGAAGATCGCTCAACAAGTTATCACATCACCATGTAGAGGAACTCATTTCATGGATTGGGGAAAATCCGACTGTAACACTGCTGTTTCTACGGATGAAACTCAAGGCTGAATGTGATAGAGAAGTTTCCATCACAACTATCAGTAACTATTTAGAAGGGAAACTGAATACAATCATCAATAACCAGTAACGATGAACTTACTTGGTAATAAAGACAAGAGGAAAAGGTAATGCAACACGACCGATGAGAGTACACGAAAGGAATTCCTCTCGCAGTGTTTATTTTCTGACTTGCCTGTTCACATGCGTTATGATATAATGATCTACAAGTGACTAACGGCTCATGTCGCTGGTTTTGGACGGAAACGAACGTCAAGTAACTGAAAAGGCTCTGAACTGAAACCTTATCTGAAGCAAAAGGACTTCCATCCCCAGTGTGTCATTCACTCCGAACTGACAGATGTTGCGGTAACTGAAAATTCGGTTGATTATGGTAATTGTAAATTTTGTAATAATAAATCACAAGCCTTCATGATCACGAGGAATCGAAATGAATTACATACCTCTTGCGCATGGATTGACCAGGTGGTCTGAGTCATTTCATTTTTCACCGGGTATGACAGCATCGTACATTTGTGAATGGTTCTGCAGATGTGTTTGTTCCTATTGTGGGCCATTGTGTATCATACGCAGTTTTGTGTAAAACTAGCGCCCGTTGTTACCGTTCGCAAATTTATTCCTCGAACCTGAAACATCTTGGCCGATTTACCCCCTAGACGTATAAGTATTCATGCTTTTGTGGTCTTGTAATGACTCCTTAACCTCAAGACTGGTCTATTTCTGAATTCAACCATTATTTACGAATGATTTACGTTGGTTCGATTGATCGTTGACTTGCTTACCATCATCAGCTATTTCCAAATCATTTTCCGGTTGACAAAGTCGATGTCTTCCCGCCAGCTCCTGTTCTATTCGCAGCGCTTCGCATTTACGGATGTTGTTTACCAATTCAGTACGCGATGCATGATGGTGCATTGATACAGCACGATCGGATNCCAACTGCACAGAGTCCATAGAATACGGTCCAGAATGCGCACTGTTTACATCTTCTGTCGATGGTATCCGCTCGGAGTCAGCAATAACCAGGTCATTAGTTGGATGATCAGACTGAGGAGAGACGGAAACAAAAACTAAAGGTTTTATTGAAAGATAATTACATATGGTGATCCTCAGAATGTTTGTTTGCTTCTAGTAATCAACCAATAAACACACTATGTTTACCTTTATGTCAAAGAATTACAAAGGTAATTTTGGTGGCACGCACTATTCTGGACGTTTGCAGGAGTGCAAATCGACCACTTCAAAGTATGCAGTTATTTAGTTGGTTCTAACAAGTTTCTTTTCAATTCTGTACACAATCCTCGTTTTGTTTTCAATTCTTACAGTTTTGCTTCTCTATTCACTGTCTATGGTTTTTGAAATACTTGGTCATGGCTAACCTGCGGTTCATCTAGATAATACAATAAAATAATTTATTGATGATACTTGAGTGCGCAAAATTCATTCCACACATTCAATAATCGTATATAAGGATTTCATTTTCTCCCAGCAGCTTCTTATTCCGTTTGTCTAAATCTTGCAGGTAACACCACGGAGTCCTTATGATAGTGTAACCTCAAAGGGACAAATAACTGTTACAGAATGAAAGCACAATCAGTCTCAATGCTTTGGAGCCAAATTTTTCTAATTACCTTCGGCTTCTTGTCAGGTCTTCCGCACATAGGACAAATCATACGTCTCCATCGTTCCGTTTGTGTACTCTCATCAGAGGTAAGTGAGATGCTCGGTAGGATCTCCGGTACTGCGTCATTTTGTCTCTTCTTCTCGCCAAGTTGGTTATTAGTTTTGGGTGACCTGGTTGTCCCTGAGTTCGGAGATGATTCCCTCAAACGGTGGACATGGGAATCTACCACTGGTGGACCCAAACGATTAACCATTTCTTCGATTTCTGTATTGTTACCATCAGAACTATAAGAAGTTTTAAGGTGTTCGAAAATACTGAAATTTGGTACGCCCTTATGAATAGGCTCGGCTCGAAACATCATTTAAGCAATAATTCGCATTAATTCAATTACATTAAACATTCGTCTTTTTACCTCATGAATTGAGTACTACTAGAAGAAAAGAATATCAAAGATAATACTAAAACCAAGCGAGTTTTTCTAGCAAATGTAGATTATTAGGGCAAGTAGAAGAGATAATCAGTAATAAGGTTATATTTCGACCTCTGAGGATTTTGTTGTTCACATAACGTTGAGCCGTTATAACCTTCAAATGAGGTCAAGCTCAAACATCGTTTTGGTTTGATACCTTATACGCTTTTTTCATTTTTGCCAGTGAAAGTACTTCACTAAAGCATAAAGATTATGCACTATGCATGTTCACGCTGTTTCCATGTTATGATACAGCTTCGAAAAGGCTATCGTTTTGTTTTCGAGAATCCGGTCACCACCACATGAAAAGCTATTGAAATTGTTGTGATTAGAAGGGTATTCTCAACCACATTTTCCATCGGTTATGAGTGTGTAGTTGTTACATTTGATATTTAAAAACCTGAAGAAAAGTTTTAACACCGGACTGCTTGAAACCTCGTTGTCGAGAAATACAAACGAGTAATCCCAAATGTGCGAATAAGAATTTGGGGCCGCTGCTCCCATTGTTAACATCCAAAGATTCAAACCTCAGTCTAGGGCAGGTTCCTTTGTATACTCCTGTATGACGTTATACGATTCACCTTGAGTTTCACTTGGATCGATTAACACTGTTTCCTGTAGGTATGCGTTAACTCTTGGAAGAAGGAAACACGAACATAAGTTGCGAGTCCCAAATTGCCCCAATTCATGTGTAGAATTGCACTGTTTACCGACTTTAGTCTACAAGGGTGATAATTAACTCCCAACAGGGCCACTATTGACTGTTTTAAACGTCATGGATTCATAGGTTGAGCATTTCCTCAGTAGCATCGCGGGCATGCCTCTTCGTGGTATTTTGACAACAAGACTGCATGTTGGAGTGACTTTGTATTAAAGGCTTGTTTGATTAAAATTGAAAGTTCTCTTTGATTCATGACCCTTTACAATGCGAGAACTCGCCAGCAATTCGACGGCTGTTCATTTTTATTTTCTGTGATCTCTGTTTAACATGCTTGTGAAACCATCCACTGCTGCATTTTACGAGGCATGTCTATTGCTCCCGCGTTTTACAAAAGTACATAGGTGATCGCGCAAAACATTCGTACGAAACAACGTTGACCTCATTGTAGCTCCCACAAGTGAATATAGGATTCTTCGTTGACTTGAATTTCTCTCTTTCACAACGACTTTTAATAAAAAATCCTACTTTCACAACACTATGACCGTTCCATCATGATTCGCAGACGCTCGTTAGTTCTTTTGCCCTGGCGGAATTGGTACAGCGATTACAATAGATGAGCGAGCCACCCCTGTCACTAAGGGAATTACAGACCAATAGGGTATTTGTAGTGGCCAATGCCGCAATGTCATTGTAGATCGCGCAAAACGGACAGCGTGTAACAAGAAGCTACACAAAGTGGGTGGAATCACTCAATAGACACCAACGCTATTTGTCAAATAGTGCCGATGACCGATCGGAAAGGATTTGAATGAACTGCACTGTTCACAAAATTGCTTACTACAGTTTAACATTTAGGCTCTGTGACAACAGTCTAGCCCACAAACTGTATTTTGTACAGAACCAAGTAGGTTTTACTTTCGATTTGTAAGCATTCAGCCAGCCAAAGATATTCAGCCTT